AAAATGTCCTTAAAAGCAAAAGTGAACGTAAAAAAAAACAAAAAAGATTTTCTTATAAGTAAAATAGGCGTCGATTTATATCTATTTTGTACAAGTGACAAGAATTTGAACTAATTTATCTTTATCTAGTTCACTGGACATCTATCGTTATGCAATTCTACCATAAAACTAATCTGCCCATAAGAGAATCTGTTCTAAAGCGCATTTGTTCGCTTCTTTGATGCTATCAATGATAATTCCATCGTCTCTCTAAGGTACTCTTACGATACGTAAGATTAAATCGAAGAATACCCAAGATTAGTTGGAGAAGTTGACCGAAGCATGTTTGTGTTGCGAGCTAGGTAAGCATAAGTTAACTGTGACATTCTCACAATAGCTCTTCCAGCCCGTATTCCAGTATAAATATTGCTTCGGGTGCCTCAATTCAAGTAATTTCTTTCTTGCACCTGAATAGGGGATAACGACTACACATAATTGCGGCATAATGTTCAATTGATGCTTAATTTATAGGTATTCTAAAGTTCTACTGATTTTGTTTTTCCTTTATCTGGTACAGTGACTCGCCCTCGCGTCGCTACGGTGTGGACTATAGTTTATCCTTTAGAGCTTCTATGTTACATAAACTTAACGATAAAACCCTCTTATAGAGATTTCATTCAATATATATTATATTCAAGTAACCTCTTCGACCATTGGTCCACATTATATGCAGTAAAATGGAGCCTTTTATTTTAAACATTCGAGATGATAAATTTACTTACTTTGATAAGAATTCATAATTGAGGAGTGACTTTTCAAAAGGCCGTATATCCATTTTTAATCTGTGAACAAATTTCGGCGGAATCTAGTTGACAAGGATTAATAGCACCTATGTATTTACGTCAATAGAACGATACAGAAAGCCTTCATTCTTATCTAAAAATAAATACCAATACAGGCATTTCTATTAAACCAGGCATAATTCCATGTACGGACAAGCGGTTAATTTAATTTAAACAAAACGCCACATTTTCTGTATAAATTTGTAGTATTTCAAAGAAATTAAAACAAAAGGGCCTATTTAATGGTTATAAAAACATGGCCAAATCTTTTAGAGAATTTGGACTTAAGCCTGTTGCTACAATTTAGTTTCATGGTATCATTGTGACTATAGATAAGGTTAAAAAAATATTGTCATTTTCGTTCTAGTCTATTGTTTGACAACTTGTCAATCTGTTTTTTTTTGATCTCGTCTAGTATAAAAATATCATAGAAGATGTTACACAGAATCACATGAGCATGATGCAGAATGTGATGCAGTTAGAATTAAAGAATAATGTTTCCTAGCGCTTAAAATGTATTTTTAATTAAAGTTTCTTTAATACATTTCATTTATGTCATACTAGCTGGCCCCGCGATGTTACCCGCGGTTAATTAGCGATATTTTCCCACAGTAAAACGTAGCCTGTGTGATAATCCAGGGTGTCAGCCAACTTCATACCAAATTTTATTAAAATCGCTCTAGCCGTTTAGACATGAAGAAGTAACAAACATACACTCACAAACTTTCGCCTTGTTCGTTCGCCTTCGCCAAAGGGCTTGTTTTCAAAAGTTTCAATCAAAAGGCCATATTTCCAAGGGATTGTCTTGGGTGGAGGTTTGTATGAGACTTCTGCAATTTGCTGCTAGAGGACCGGAAAATAATAATGGGACTTCTTGTTATGATAAATAATTAAACTTGGGTTACTTTACCCAAAAAAATAAAAAGTCACAAGCAAGTCACAAAACCTAATGAAATACCCCCTAAAAAAAATCGTATAGTATAAAGTGTTGCCAAGATGAGTCCATATGACTCGCACTGTCAAAAAGTTATCGGATCTCATGTAGAGTAAAGCTTTGAAGTCTACAACAGTCCTAACTCCATAAAGCCTAACTTCACAAACTCTACAATACATCTTAGTCAGAATACTTTGCTTGGCCGTTTCGTTATTACCAGAAATATTTTATAACAGAACAGTATCCTTAGCACGAACCAATATCGAGTTCGTATCGTTTGCGAGTCCGAAATGTCAGTGTCAAATGTGTACTGATTTTTAGTTCTCGTTACGTACTTTGTGCCGCTGCTGTTCAAGTTTCCATACAAAATTTGGCATTGACATTTCGGTTTGCAAACTACATATTCGAATTCGATAATGGTTCATGCTCTGTAATGAACAGTTGATACATTTTTCACCTTACGCCCATGTGAATGTAGCGAAATGGCTAAGCCACTTCTTTTGTTGAGTTAATTTAATTGTCAGAAGCTAGGCTCTAAATGAGATCTCATAACGTTTTGAATTGACATTTTTGGCATAAAAAGTATTCTATGTCTCAATCCAGGTCTATATGCGTACCAAATTTTATCCAAATCTTTTTTGTAGTTTTTGAAATGATTGAGTTTCAAACATACATACTTTCACATTTATTGTAGGATATAGTAAATTTCATCCTTTGGATAAAATGGAAGAAAGTCGAAATCTATTGCAGAAAATGTGTTTTTGATCTATTTCCAAGATGTTTATGTTGCATTTTCTTATTTTCGCATAGAAGGTGATAAAAAATGGATCTAACTCGGGAGCAACACTATTTCTAAGCTTAAGCGACGTAGATATTTTAAAACCACGTTTAAAACATAATCTTTCGCTCCGTTTTTTATTCAAAAAACGCTGTCACCTTTAAAATAGTTCTCTGCTCCCTTAGTTAACAATCTACAATTTTCTCACCTCTGTTCGAAAATAGTTCTTCATCTCTCTCTGGTCTCTGTTCATATGGACAAAAATGGCATTTTGATCCTTAGAGACTAAAGGTATTAGAAATGTGAAGATCGTTATTACAAGTCCGAATCACCAAAGAAATCAATTACGAAAATTTGCTTATGAACAAATCACAAGCTGTATAAACGCGTGAAATATATTCTGCTTTCGTTCATAAATATTTACTCAAATTTGGATTGCATTTAGTTTTATAGAAAATGAGTGAGTCTTCCTCAAATAGTGATAATGAAGATATTATATTAACTCCCGAGAAAATAGACGCTAAAAATGTTAGATGCATTTACTTATTTTCTCATAGAGAGTGATAAAAAGTAAAATGTCTATCCATGCTCTGCTCTGGATCAAAAAATGCTCTCGACTTTAAAATAATTCTTGCTCCATTTGTAAACAAACTACTATTTAATAGTTGATACCGGGTTTTATTTTAAAAGTATCATCATCATCATCAGCCTATTAATGTCCATACATAGGGAGATTGGGGCATGACCCACCACGCGGGCCCGGTGCGGATTGGTGGGTGCTAACGACTGCAAATGCAGCCGGGACCAACGGCTTACCGTGCCTTCTGAAGCACGGAGGAGCTCGAGATAATAAATTTTTGTTCACCCATCCAATGACCGACCACTGCGAAAGTTGCTTAACTTCAACGATCGCAGCCGAACGCGCTAGCCACCTGTGCCATCGATGTCCTCGTAAAAGTATAATATAAGTTTAATATCAATGAGCAAAAATAAGGTTATCAATTTATTTAGTCTGAGTTTCCCTACATTAAAAAAAAATACAGCTTAACACTTACCTAATATCTCATCTATCTTTCGTTGTTGTTTGGTTTTTTTATCTTAAAACTGTAATGTAATGGACTTTTGTTTGCTTTCTGTTATTTTATAAAATCTGAATATTGTAAGGGATGCCTTATGCTCCTAATTAGATAAAACATTTTTTGCTTTCCGTGACAGCCTGTTATTAAGGCAAGTTATTATTTACACCAAATTATTTAAGAAAAGAAATGTATTTTAAGCATGTAAGATATATTCTTGTTGGTTGTCCAAATAAATTAAATACATTTTCACACGCTCCCTGCTTCATTCGCTTTCAAGCTTAAATAGAGTGTTCTACGATGGCTGATGTCCATGGGAGACAGTGACCACTTAACATCAGGTGGCCAGTCCGCTAGTCTGCCTTCCAGGGCAATAAAAAAAAGAAATCCCTCCAATTTAACCTCTTATGCGATTAAGTTCCAAATATAAAAGTTTTCAGTACCCCTAGCACGAACCAATATCGAATTTGTATCGTTTGCGAGTACGAAATGTCATTGTCAAATGTGTACTGATTTTTAGTTCTCGTTACGTACTTTGTGCCGCTGCTGGTTTGCAAACTATTCGAATTCGATAATGGTTCGTGCTAGGGGTACAGAAGAGGCTCAAATACGTATCTACTATTCCCATATTTACATCTTCAAAAAATTCTTACTATTTTCTTATATGTATCTCTTTCAACCCCATTATAATGTCATTTTTATGACGAAAAAGTTGCATTCAAATCACCACTAAATCACCAGTTTTCTTTCTTTTTCCCTAGGCGGCTTTTCTTTTTTTCTCAAAACTATTTCTTTTAATTTTAAGTTGCTGTTTGAAAAACAAATCTAAGTTCACAATTCTATTGGATTGTGTATTACCATACCACCATGTATACCAGTTGCCACAGCATCATAAAAACAAAGAAAATAATAAAATGACAGCAAAGCTTTGTATTTTCACAAAGCTTTCACTGTCCGTCCACTTATACTATTATGAGTAGTTAATTAGAATTTGTATCCATATTATTTATTAATACTTATTGCCGCACTTTTCTTAGTTAGTAATACTTCGTTTTCATGTCTTTAGAGATTTCATGTTACTATGAAAACCATTAAAACATTTGGAATCGTACACGTAGGGCAGAACAATATGACTAACTTTAATCACCACTTGAAGTAATTCCTAGTGAAATTTCATCATCGTCAATCTAACTTGGTTTAATAAGTAATACTTGCTGTGGGCCGTCCCTGAGCTGAGACCGGCGCGGTCCAGAGAGAGGCTGTGCGTCTCATCTCTCCCGCTATCCCTTACTCGCGCACTCATCTCGCGGTCTCTAAGGGAAACCTCGGTAACGGCGTAAATGCCCAGCCATTTCCATACACGGAGCTTTGAACTACACTCGTGTTAAACCATTTTTTATTTTTTAAAAAGAAACGGTGGTTTTTGTATTGTTTAAAAAAGGAATTAGGAATAGAAATTTTGAAAATGGTATGCGAGGAAGTGGCGCCATCTGTGGCGGTGTTGTCGTCCCGTTCTGGAGGCGAGGGCGTGTCCCAGGGGCGCCTCCCACAGTCCGCGGGGACGGACCCCCGCGCCGCCGGCCCTGGCACTCGGCGGCGCGCTCCCGCGACGCTTGTTAGTGTTCCGCAAATCCACAGCGGGATCGCCCGCACAACCGGGACCCTGATCCCTAAACGCACATACGATAATACACCGCCGCCTATCGGATAGATATTGATACTGTAGTAGGCTTCTATATTAGAAATTGCTCAGTGCTTTTTTTTTTAAATTCGCAAGTGAATTTGTTTTTAAATTTCGATTCGTGTGTTCGTTTTTGAAATTTTGAATATGTTTCGAATTTGAATAGAGACTTTTCGAAAAGTACAATTGCAAACAGAACTCTCAGAAAAAACGACGTTTTATTTTGCCGCGCGCGTTTTTTGAATCTGTTCAGCCGGAGTTGTGTTCGTTGCCGGAATATTATCCTGTAAGTACGTAAACCTTCGCGTTTTTCCGCGGGTGTTCGTGCGCTGTCGGGCGCTTGGTTTGCTGGCGAACGTCGCGAGTCGCGATTCGGTCGGACGAGCTAAACGCGGCGGCGAGCGGGTACGCCGGCTCGCCGTGGCCGCCGTTGGAGTTAGACCCCGTGGGATGGGGACGCAAGCTGTATCCGTCGGGAGCGCCGAGGACTTCCGGTGAGTTTTAGAAATCTTACGATCTTTGGGATTATAATCATATATTTTTATAAGAAAATACATTTAATGAAAAACCTCTAACCGGATTTGAAGCGCGTTTTTAAATATTGCATATTATTTCCCAAGTTTCAGATCTTTTACCGGTGCAGTGTTTTTGAGAAAGTTTTAATACGATTTTTGGCTTGCTGCCTTCTAAAAAGTTTATAGAAACCTCGGAAATAATGTGAAATATTAAAAATGGCGCTTCAAATTCGGTCAAATAGTGTATTATTTAGTTATGGGTGCGTGAAAACATAAGAAATAAAAACATTTAAACTGTAATGTACTGCCATTTCAATACCTCAATATCAATCAGTGTATCTTCTACACTTAGTTCCCGGCATTCGTGAGAAATTTTCCAGGTTATATTTTTCGTTATCAATTCAGCTATTGGATGTTACCTAATATTATCTGTTAGGATAGGAAAACTTGTTTTCAGTTGATAATGAAAAAATAAAATAAATGCCACTCCTAAACAAACTTTATTTTTCCTACAATTCAGTGACACACATTTACATTTTTTCTTAACGTTTACTTTATTGATTGCCTATTTTTGTTCAACCTATGCCTAGTTTCTTTACTAAATCAGCTATAAAATAATAAGCTTGTGTCATAGTGGAAATGAGGCGTTATTTGCATATAAAAAATTACTTGATATAGTTTAGATTGCCAAGCAATTATAAAAAAATATTATAGGTACTTTGTCGTAGAATATTTCTGTTATAGTTTTTTCTGTTTTTTTTCTGTTACAAAAAAGAAAATAGTAGGTACATATGTAATTAAATCACCAAATGAAAATTAGCAAATCCTAACAACGGTTATAAAATTTTCGTAAAAGAATCAAAACAAAAATAACTCCTTATTCTTTCTTTAGTCAGAATATATAAACAGTAATAAAGTATATATATTTTTTTCGTATCTCTATATAGGTAATGATTTTTTAGTCCGTCCCGTAGTATAATGTTAAATTTTTTGTCCGTCCAGGTGGTCTCATGTTCGGCCTCCACCATCAGGAGGCGGCGGGCGGGCTGCACGCTCAGCCAAGAGGGCCGGTCACTTCGCTCAAGGAGGAACCACTCACCAGAGCTTGGATGACACCCAGCTCCTTAGTTGATAATACCAAGTAAGTGTCAAGGCCGAAAAATTACAGTCAAATATATAACAAATTTTGTGTCACTACCAAGTGATTAAAAAAAATTTCAAAAGACACTTAAAAACATATGTTGGTCTATAAAGATAACCAGGAAAGTTAAATATTCATGGTCAGCTCCTAGGGCCGGTCACCTCGCTCAAAGAGGAACCACTCACCAGAGCTTGGATGACACCCAGCTCCTTAGTTGATAATACCAAGTAAGTGTGAAGGCTGAAAAATGACAACCAAATAAAACACAAATGTTGTGTCACTACCAAGTGAAGTAAAAACATTTCAAAATACAATGAAGAAAAAAGTAAGGTGGGTCTAAAAATATCACTAGGTAAATTAATTATTCATAATCAGCCCCTAGGGCCTTTCACCTTGCTCAAAGAGGAACTACTCACCAAATAATTAAGACAAAAAAATGTTACAAATCACAAAAAAAATATTTGGACCCACCTTGGTCTAAAAAGATCACTAGGTAAATTAATTATTCATGATCAGCCCCTAGGGCCTTTCACCTTGCTCAAAGAGGAACTACTCACCAAATAATTAAGACAAAAAAATGATACAAATCACAAAAAAATACCATGTGAATCTTTAGTAATCAAAAAAACAATATACAACTAAGTAAAAAAAAACACATTAACCTCTTTGAGAAGGAACCTCCTCCTTTTTGAAGTCATTAGAAATGGGCAGGTTTTAAGATCTCAGCTGCGGAGCTGGGCACCTCGCTCAAGGAGAAATCGCTACTATTAGAGCTTGGATAACACCTAGCTCCTTAGTTAATACTACCAAGTGAGTATAAAGACAAAAAAACACAAAGTTAGGAAAACAATCGTTACAAATCAGAAAACAATACCAACTGACTCTTTGGTAAAAAATACAAAAAAATAGGGTATTATTTACTTGTTCAAGGAGAAAATGGTTCCTAAATTAATTTAAATATAAATTAGAGCTTTTCAATATGAGGATGGACTTAATAAAATTTTGCATATAATGATTCTGACTCTTTTAAACTATAGTAATGGATGCGCATGACTTTGTCGTTCGTTTCGCGTGGAAAAATTGATTTCCCATACAAAATTCCATCTCCATTTTCACCCGTTAAAGGAGAATTTCTAGGATAAAAATTATCCTATGTTCTTTCCCGGGACTCAAACCATCTTTAAAGCAAATTTAAACTCAATCGGTTCAGCGGCTTAAGTGTTAAGAGAGGTAACAGACAAACAGTCAGACAGACTGATTCACACTACGGATTGTGTAAATTTATAGAATATCTAATAAATATAAAAGATAATGACGCGTTTGAATACGTTTAGGACCAGAGATGTACAAAATGGTTTTAAAAAAGCATTTAAATACAAATGCAAAATACTTTTCAGATTTACTATTTCAAATGCAAAATACTAAATAGTTTTGCGTTTTGTATTTCAAATGCTAAATGCAAAATAGGTATTTTCGAAATACTTTTTCAAAATAAAATACCCCCTGACCAAATCACAGATATTTTTATTTATTATAGGTACATATTTACTTATCATACATGAGCAATAGAGACACACAATGCCGAGCCGAAAAACAAACGTCTAATAACATATTACATATGATTACACTTTTCTTATTAAAACTAATAACAACTGGAACTGGACTGGTATTGTTAAAAAGTGATAAAAATAAATATCATTGTTTATTTATTACGCTTTTTAACAATACCAGTTGTTCGAATACATCATCACTCATTTTTCTTCTGTGAGGTCTCATTATCATCCCACCATACGAAAAAAGTCTTTTTACTGGTGCTGAACTTGGTAAGGATGTGTTGTATTTAAAAAATACTTTTTTTACTGTAGGATAAGCATTTAGCATCTCCAGACTTGTGCTCTCATCCTTTAAATATTGCAGGGTTTCCAGATCTATTGTAGTATTATTAGCACTACCACCCTCACTGGTTGCCGAGGAATCTGAACCCTGGAACATGTAATAAGACTCGCTTTTTTCTCTTTTTCTTTCCGATGTCTGTGATAGGAGGCAGCTTTTTTTTAATTTTCCTGACTTCTTGGATAAACAGCTCCCTAAGATGCTCCTTCTTATTTTTAGGCACCCATTTTAATTTGAAAAATCGATACGATATTGCTGCCAGAATGCTGTCCTTGGATCTTGGGTTATCTAAATCAAATTTTTCGAAACGATTTTGAATACTTTCCTTTATTATTTAAATTAACGGTGCGCAATAAACTGGACAGACTTCAGGTAGAAATTGTTAGACACCAGCCAAATCCACCAAGTCACGTCTATTTAGATTATCTAAATTATCTTGTAGTACGTAACCGTTCCAGGTATAGTGCATAACCGTTTCAGTATTATAGAAATAATAACAACACTTCAATATCAGAGAAGTTGGTAATCAAATCAGTAACTACTTCACTAGCACCAGAAAATAATAAACTCGTCGTGAAATCAAATCGTCGGTGTCAACGGCTATGCGTTTCATATCCATAAATTCATAGCCATAGATAATGTTCGCCGTTTTCGTTGGAAATTGACACTTGTCAGACATTACTTGACATAAGGCGCGCACTTTGACCAAAGAAGAAAAAATGTCACGCATGGTTAGCAGGCGCCTCTATCGGTCGAATTCGGCAATACAAGCGTTTTGTTTTGTTTGACTGGTAATGTTGGCTAAACTTAATCACAAAGTATTTTGTATTTTGAAATTAATATTAAAAATACAAAATGCATCTCGAAAGGCATTTCAAATAAAATACAAAATACTTTTCACTGAAAGGTATTTAAATACAAAATATAAAATAGGTATTTTGCATTTTCTATTTGCATTTAAAATAGAAGTATTTCAAATAAATCACATCTCTGTTTAGGACCAATGCTTTAGAAAATAATATAGGTATAGTCGATAAACAAGATTGCTGATATATTTAAGTAAGTATCTAAAATACATTAAAAAAACCCAATAGTTACTGGAAAGTGACTCTGTATTGACTACCTACATTACCGAAAGTTACATAGCAAATTTTAGAAGAAAAAAATAAGAACTCCTACTTAATTAGTTACATTTTGAATTTTCTATTTATCGTATATTTTTCTAAAGTCTATACAATTTTAACCTACCAGTTTATTGTTTACACATTTAAAGGGATCTTATTTGTACAGTTTTAATAAACCTTTTAGTGGAAAGAGCAGCGTTGTAAACTGATTATATCCACAAATTGTGTTAGAGCACCGCGAACTGAGCAAACCGTAACAAATGTCTACTGGTTTGACATTAAATAACCAAATGGGATTAAGTCCCACTGTATGAGGGGTCGGAAATAAGCCATCAATATGGAACGCACACTTGGGTTTTGTTTATATATATACTGGTTCTATTAATAAATATTTTCGTGTCCCACAAATTTTATTAAATTTTAAGTAGATGAACTCTTTTATATAACGGTTCTGTAAGGAAAGAAAAAATAATTTATACTGACGGCCTAACGCGACTTCATCGTTAACCTTAGTTTTTTAAGTATCCCATAGGAACCTAACATTTAGGATAAAAGTATCCTATATCTCTTTTCAGGTCATAAACTTTATGTGTATCCAATTTCATCTAAATCCACTTCGTCAGTTCTGCATGATTAAGTAACATACTCAAAAACATACAAATTTTCACTTTTATAATAATGGTTAGATTTAAAAAGTAGATTGATACTAAATAAAATAAATTCAACTGTTGTGTACAGTTACACCATTATTACAAATTGTCCCGTTCACTGTTCAAGATTTAAGACTGCAAGAATGTATGTTCTTTATATTGCTTATACGGAATGTAATAGCGACAATAGAAATAGAAACTGCAAAAGTTTTAACTGTCTACCTACAGTAGTGGGCAAATACTTACCAATTTAGCAATAATAGTGGACGAGTACTTACCAATTTAGAAATAATGTCCCATTGCATTCATAAGGTATGAAATCCTGAGAAGACTATTTTATATTAAAGTTTTTAAATGTAGTATAATAACAAACAGTTTTATGTGTCATTTTAATTCCTAGTTAATTTTTATGAATACAGAAACTTTTATTTATGAATCGATCAGCATTTTATGAACATATTTAACAGCGACCATTAATCATCACCTGAAACTGCAGCAGGTTGATACTCACAATGCGGTCTTTATTACCGCACAGAGCAGGGTCCAATCAGGGGCGAGCGAATTTGGCACGATAATGAACTCGCCCGTAACAAGTGCGTATTCATAAACGCAAAGGGCGTGATAAATCATACCGCGGTGTGGGGAGCGCGGAACAGTTTTGCTTATGACTGTACTCGGTTTTGAATAGCGCGAGTTTCGAGTTCGAAAATTAAAATTTCGCCGTTCTGAATTTGAAAAGTTCTCCGCTTGTTTTTCTTTTGCTTTGATTTCATTCTACACGCGGGGAATGAATGTCAAGGGTTGTGGTTTCGATGTCTACTAATTTATTTAAGGTTTTCTACTCTATTATGTATTTGCTGCGGCTCTACTTTTACCAATGAACGCAAAAGAAGGGGCTTGTATTTGCTTATAAAATAGGCAAACAATCTTCAATTATAATATTGTGCTCAGCAATTGAACAAACAAATTTGCACAACAGTAAACATTTGTAAGTCATAATGCGGCGTATTGACGGTCTGCCGAATTAGAGGGCATTGTTTGTGGAGGGCTCTCCCGACATCTGTCACGTTTTACCTACGGATTGTGTATTTATTTTTATAGGGAGTGGCTTCAACTTTTGATTTGAACTAGTAGGTAACTCATTTTTACTAAAACAGGAAAGAAATAACATCAAAGTAATTAATAAATTTTCCATCTAGTTTAGAACAGATAGGTACTACTACTTTAATGTCCGATTGATAGATTGGAACCTTATAAGGTTGTTATGTGAGTAATACCTATATTTTAATATATTAATTAAACCGAACCCTCGAAATCAGGTAATTAGTCTAATTGTATAAAATTATCAGGAGCTTGGATGACGAATGGTGATAGATAACAGACCGGCGGCGATGACAGCGTCATTTATATAACTGTCTCGAAATCATTAAGGCTGCATTCACCCCTCAATAATTTAGTATAATGTTTTTAAAAACACTTAAAGTAATATTGGTAGCTAAAATTTCATAATGATTAAGTACATCCTACATGATTAAGTAAGCCACAACTATCTGCCTACCTAGCATTTTAGGTTTTGACGTCCCTAACTAGGAATAAATGTTATATTGAGTAAAAAGTTTTTACGCAGTTTAGAAGTTGGCTTTTTAACCATCTTTATCGTGTTTTTTTAAATATATTATTATTGCTCAACCTAACATATATTAGCTGCAGACCGTTGAAATTTGCCTCTAACACTATGTGTGCCGTTAGATGTGTCCGAAAGTATATTATTTATTTATACTGAAATTTGAAATCGATTTATTACGTTAAGTCTTATTACTTTAATTCCATTATAAAACTTCGTAAAATCCGGTAATGGTATATTCTAAAACTGCAATTTACAATGTTTTTGTTTTCATTCACGTATTTAGTTTTAATATTCGAAGCGAGCGGCCGATGGCCGATTTGTTGACCGTTCGCGTTCGCAACACCACAAATCACAATCGACTTCAACCTTAACCCGTAACAGTCAGAATAAATACTCAACAAAATCCGTTCGAAGATTGATAGCGCCGCGATCCGGAAGCGAAAAAAGCGCTGCAACCTAAACGCGCGCGCGGAACTGGTAGCTATAAATAAAACAATGGAGTGTCGCGCGCGAGAGTATAAAATGGCAATCGCGAAACCAATTTGTTTACGCAAATTCTGCAGCGGGGAGAGATGAATGGGCGACCATAGCATAATACGGTGCTGGCGAATAATGCTGCACGGAGATGTGGAGCTAATTTCGATATCGGTTGGTGATAGTTTGTTCTCCTTTCAAGCTTTCAGAATGAATTTGGTAAAAACCGTTTTTAAAGTAGTTAGGGTTAAAATTTGTGGATGTAGTCGAAATAAAACCAGAAGAAGTTATATGAGAAGGTAGCTTATTTTCAGAGTAAAATGATAGGTAAATAATAATAATAAATAAATAAATATTTCCAACACTCACACCAATTAGCCTAGCCCCAAAGTAAGCACTATAAGGCTTGTGTTATGGAATACTAGGGTAACGGATAGAATACATATATTGTACATATATAAGTATATTTATATAGAAAATACATATTAAACATCCATGACTGGAGTACAAATGCTCGTATTCATCACACAAACATCTGCCCCCACCGGGATTTGAACCCGGGACCTCTCGAGTCGGCGACACCATGAAACCCGGCGTACAAACCACTCGGCCATGGAGGTCGTATTGTAGGGGAAACAGAAGAAAGAAACAACAGAACCGCTTGAGAATGTTTTTTATTTTAAAGGTCGTACAGTTGATTGCAACATTTAATATTCTTTAATGACCATCTTTGCGGGTCTACCTTTCATCGCAGAATTCTTTAAAGACATAATATTATTATGGATATAAGTGGCAAGCAACATCTTCATTTCGCAGAAAATCATTTGGAATACACTAATTTATTAAAATTCATACTTTTGTAGGATTGAATTTAATATCCACAATAATTTAAAAAGCGGAACCATCATATTGCAAATATTTCACAGTCGGAATCGTCTTTTGGTATATATATGTTGGTGAACGCTTCGGGTGCTCGGCTCTCGTTAAGTTTAAGTCAGCATATTAACTAAAGCTACTGACTACAAACAACGATTTTGTTAAACCGAAATTAATAATATTCTGCCATTGTTGATTGGGACACATAATCATTCGGGCAAACATGATTTTATTTAAAAAAATATATGCCAAAAATATGCCTTACAAATCCGTTTCAAAATATTATACCAAGTGTGTTATGCCAAATGAATTTGGGAGCAACAATATTGTACCGGATAGAATGGCCAAATTCTTTGCGCTGAATTTTTCAAAACTAGGGTTTTAAGTAGAACAACTTCACAAAAGCAGGCCACTGCAATACAGCAATGAGAAATGTAACCAGAACTTTGATGAAATACCACATTCGGGATTCTCAATCGATTTACTATACACAAACTCTTCAGCATAGCATTAATTCCACTGTTCAAAACTCTATCTTATGTAATTGTATTAAGGATATTATTAAGGAATAAGCTAAAATCACAGTGAGCTCTGGCTCACACATGTGTCAATATCATGATGTGTGGCAGCATTTGTGTATCGTCACTTCATTTTAAATATCGATGAAATTTTAAATGAATTCCTAAAAATAACGTGTGGTCCTAGTCTAAGCCGAAGTATTTAGTGGTATAGGTTAAGTTTATTTAAAATCAGCTTAAGACCCCTCTTAATAAGCAATTTAATTTTTTAACTACTGGTGTCCCTATCGCACGATTACCAATTCGCGAGAGCAATAGTTTATTCAAATACCTATTCCTCAAATTTCTCTCATCTCGCGTCCGCTCTTAAATCAGCTACATTCGAGTCGGGCTGGACTATGAAGGCTTTCATTGTATACCTACTATGAAGAAATTCACATTCTATAAAAAAATGGGCGATCTAACTACATATTATGGTTTATTTGCGGCTACCACTACTTCGTTTTTTTCTTTTTATCAGCTATCTTCACATTTGGACTCTATCACCGTTTAACATTAGGTGGGGTAGAGTCATTTGCCTAAAAAAAAAGAGATTGCTTGTTTTTATGTTATTCTACTAGTTTAAATCAATGTGGAGCCTTGGAATCTTGCTCACCGATAGAAACACAACATCGTCAAAAGGTAGACTTATTTTACTGTGGTATTATGTAAGGTGGATGTTACTTCCCCAGACGGGCGCTCCAATTCGAGCGGCAAAGCCGCTTTGACCTACTTCTATTCGTCCGCGTTAACTTTAGTTTTTAAGAACCCCACAGGAACTTAACATTCTTCCGGAATAAAAAGTATCCGCTGTTTCAATCCTTGGTTAAAACTATATGCATAAGAAATTTCATCCAAATCTGTTCAGTAGTGTTTGCGTGATTGTGTAACAAACACACAAAAGTATCCTCTGTTTCAATCTTTGGTTATAAACTATATGCATAAAAAAATTGCATCCAAATCTGTTCAGTAGTTTTTGTGTGATTGTGTAACATTACACACAAAAGTATCCTTTGTCTCAATCCTTGGTCATTAAATATATGCATAAAAAATTTCATCCAAATCTGTTCAGTACTTTTTGCGTGATTGTGTAACAAACACAAAAATATACAAATTTTCAGATTTATAATATTAGTAGGATAGGAGGTTAAGACACTCTACATTCCTCTTATAAACAGCAGGGTGGAATCTTAATAAAAGGTTCTCGTACGTAGTCATCCTTTTAGAACGGAACCCAAAAATACTTACCCACGGAAGTCTAAGGAATAAAACTTCTCCGACGCATTTACTTAACACATTATAAAAACATCATCATATTACTCTTTACTGGCAATTATTACTTCTATTGTCACCAAACCCTGAAGAATCTGCACCGTTAGCACAAGCGATTTCAAAAACGGTAAAAGCAATAAATCAATTTTAAAAGGATTATAATCTGTGCTGTTTTGTTCTGTAAACCTTTTTGTCATCTGTGGTTCATTTGAAAGACGCGCCAAATTTATTTGTGGTTTGTAGTCTCTATTAACAAATAGACCTGAGGAAATATAATGAAGTCAATGTTGAAAGATATTTACGACTGTTTTTGTTTTTTTGTCGGTATCCCGGGGTGTTATAGTGTGGGAAGAATATTTGTGGACAAATGCGTGCTCTTTACTGTGACTTTGAAAATAATCAAAATATGTATTATATTTGCAGCCAAAAATTTTCTGACAAGCCTTTACTTGAATTTCTTACAACAATTACAATATTAACATTGTTTCGATATGAAAATAAAATGATGTCAGTAAAAATTAAGATAAAGCGAGTAGAAGATCTTCAGCATTTTTTTTAATCTGTTTTACATAAATATGAGTATTAAGGATGCATTTATATTAAAAATACAACGTATAATTACAAATATATATACGTCAATAAATAAAACAGACGACAGACGACAGCAAAATTGTTTTCCGTGTGTATTTACTAGTACGGCGTATAAGTTTTTACCATAAAATAAATATATAGTACAGAAGGCAATCTTAATACAAAGTGCGCTCGAGGGTACACATAGACACCGCTCCCGGACGCGATATCTCGGACCGGTTGGAACCAGTGTGGGCGCGAGTTTAATTCGCTTGAGACAAGCGTCTGTGATGTATTTTGTGCAGAAATGGAGCAGTTAAAAAAATATTATAACTGTTAAGTGGACGGTTGTTTCAATTAAACAATAAACGACCAATTATTAGTTATTATAAGTTACAACAATAATATTATGATTAAACTGTTTTAGTTATTATTTGTTTATATTTCCATTCTTCTTCTTAACAATATATCAAACCATTAGATATGTCACTATTAAAATAGTTTTTGTGACAGTTTTTTTAGTGACAATCGTCGAGTGTAGGTATGAAACGTGAAGTACACATACCATATGAGTTCACCTTCTGTACTATGTATTTTGTGCTTTTACTGTCTGCAAATGAAAGCTCGCAACTGGCGCATTCTATGTTTTTCTCTTACACCCAATCCAGTATCAAAAAGTTTTACTCATCAATGTAAAAAAATAATAATATAATTTCTTTTAACTTTAACAGCAGCGTGGGAGTGGGCCGGGCGCATTTTGAGAAGCAACCGCCCAGCAACCTGCGCAAAAGCAACTTCTTCCATTTCGTCGTGGCGCTATACGACAGAGCGGGACAGCCGGTCGAGATCGAGCGGACTGCCTTCATAGGCTTCATAGAAAAAGACCAGGTAAATATTCAATGAACACCATCCAAAATACCCTTTGAGATAATGTGCTTTGCTTATGTGACTTTGACTGAATCAAAAACTTATCTTATTTATTTATTAACTCTTTATTGTTTTGTAACAAATGGCGGACTATCTTCTTAGGAACTTAAAATTTTTTTGTGATGACATTTTTGTATATAATTTTTTTTGTGATTAACATTTTCTATAGTTTTATTTTGAACGCTATTGTCTTAGAGGGCTGCATGCTTCTTTGAATAACGTATCGATATAGTAAAGGAAGTAATAGCATCAACTCAAATCAAAAGTAAATTGACGACTATGAGTTACACTGTTAAAGGCATTTCTCTCAATGGTACCCATTACCGGTGTTTGTTATCAATAATCCTTTATTCGAGATCGTATCGCGAATCAGAGGATCCATTAATCAGGATCGTTCGGACATGATGTCTATTGTGTGTACAATGGCTTATTTACATAATACGTGTGCCCCTTGGTGGCATGTGTTTAAATTTAATCTAATATTTTTAAATAATAGTTAAGTTAGTAGATTTTCTATTTTTTTTTCATTTATTTCTATTTCGTTAGACTACACTTAATTATGATAAATAAAAGTTTGAATTCCTTTATAAATGACTAGCGGCCGCCTGCGACTTTCGTCCGTGTTAACTGATATCTCGCCATCTTGGTGCTATATACAAACTTTGATCCCTCGTTTTGCTCCTCACCCTTTCGGTCTCCTCAAGGGGGTCGATCTTTTGGAAAATCTTTTCTAAGCGGATCCCAAATCAAAGAATGTGGCTGTACTTTAACAAAAATCAATATTTATCACTTGAACTAATTACTAATATTAGTTCTAGTTATAAACGTAACGTATTACTAAATAAAGAATTTCAGCCGTCCTGATCTAAAAGAATGCATAATAGTCACGTGAGTTCATACACAAAGGGCGTATTCACACTTCTTATTTTCCCCGAGTCTTGTATTTAATTATTCACCCGGTATACTGTGTCGCGTGTGTTTTTACGATGTGTATACCTTGCCTTACGTGCGGTGTTTTATTTCCAGTTGTTAGGTACTACACCACCTTTGTCAAGGTTTTAAATTATTTTATAGGCTTTACCATATTACATGAAGTATTACTTTAAACAAACAAAATTCTCGTGTCACGGTGTGCGTAATTGAACTACTCCGAAAGGACTCGACCGATTTTCGTGAAATTTTATATGCATTTTCACTAGGTCTGAGAATCGGACAACATCTATTTTTCACCCCCTAAATGATAAGAGTGGTCCCATTAACTTTTTTTTGGACAAAATATTTTGTGTTTAATTTTTTATGTTACATCATACAAAAATACAAACAACTCTAAATTTTCGCCCTTCTACCGCCAACCCCTATTTTTTATGGCGGTACGAAGTTCGCTGGGACAGCTAGTATCTTATAAAATTGATAAGGTAGTAACTGATTATAAATTAAAGAAGTAGTAACAGCCTATGTTTTATATTTTTTGTATATTCATATACTTTTTCTTTCATCGACATTTCATATAATATGTATCATAAGAGTACTTAGCGTGGTATTCCATCTTCTTTTTATTAAATAAATTAGTCGCATTTCCGTATATATGACTGATTGTGTTTCCTATTTACAGGAAGCTGAGGGTCAGAAGACGAACAACGGCATCCAATATAGGCTTCAATTACTTTATGCAAATGGTAAGTTTATTGTTAAAAACTCAGTTAAAAATATACATTCGAACATAGAACCTCCTCCTTTTTTGAAGTCGGTTAAAAACACATAACCGTACAAAAGACTTTTGATTGCACCAGACAAAAGGTGATTTGAGTTTAATTTCAATAAATATGTGCTCTTATTAAAAAAAGTTATGATTGATTTTACGTAAAAACTAAAGAAAAGTTAGGAAAATCAAAATGCAGTTGGTAAAATCGGTAATGACGATTAGGTTTGATTTTATCGGAGGCCAATAGATAAATAAACAATAAATAAATATTCTGAACACCCACACCAATTAGCCTAGCCCCAAAGTAAGCACTGTAAGGCTTGTGTTATGGGATACTTGGGTAACGTTTAGAATACATACACTGTTCATATATAAGTATATTTTATTTAAATAAATATTAAACATCCATTACTGGAGTACAAATGCTCGTATTCATCACACAAACATCTGCCCCCACCGGGTTCGAACTCGGGACCTCTCGAGTCGGCGACACCATGAAACCAGGCAAACAAACCACTTGGCCACGGAGGTCGTCAGCAGTTTAGGATCGGTAGATTTCTTGATCATGCATGGGAGTTTTGACTTTATATGTACATAATTTCTTTCGTAGTAATAAACCGATTACCAAACGTAGTCAGTTAAAACTTTTGACAAACTTCTTTCTGCTTGATTTTTACAGTGCGGAGTAGTTTTCTCTGAATAATGAATTTTATTTTTTTTATTTTTAGATGTTATAATAAATTTTCTGTCATCAAAACTCAGACTTTAGCTTGTCTATTTGATCGTTAAATATTTGAATTATGAAGCTCCCCAAATTTTTATGAGGCAGACAAAACAAGTTTCACTTGTTTTTATACGTCAATGTAGCCAGGAGGTTGATTTTCGAACATCTAGTATTTGGTCCGCGTGGATTCTTTTCTAGTAAAACTTTTCTTTAGATTTAAACATCTAGCAGTTAAAGACTTAAAAATAAGTAAAAACATATCTAGTATTCCGTTAATTGTAAGCTTTAATGATGTAGTTGCAAATTTTATAATAACTTCATTATTTCTGAACTAGTTTGTGTGTGAAATGGGGTTTATTTTTGGATTTTCGAATTCCGTCTTAGTATTTTGGATCGTTTCATTAATTCTGAACAGCTCCTTTCACCACAAGTAGAACATAAACACCTACCTTTACCCGTGTTGAGCACGAGACATACAGAGGAGGCGGCTAAGTGATTCGCGTGCAATCCAGGGCATTCTGTATGCAGGTCGCAAGGCGCTCAGGACTTGTGTCAATATTGCCAGTCTTGAGGCATTGTCAAACAGTAGCTGCCGCTGTCATAGTCAATGCATACAGGTCGCATCAGCTTATATGTACTGAAGCTGTTAGGCAATAGAGTTATAGTGTTGAAAGTTATCTTTATGAGAAGAAATGAAATCCATACTAATGTTTGAAATGCGAAAGTGTGCCCGTTTGTTTGTTTCCTCTGCACGCTTAAACAGTTGAACCGATTTAGATTAAAGGTACTGAAATATTCTGAGTCTCAGGGAAGGTTATAAGAGTGTTTTTATCTCAGAAATCATCCTTTAAGGGCGTAAAACGGGGTACACGCAAAGTCGCGTACACCCTAGAAATACTTGTGAAAAATCGATGAATGAATAACGACGAGTAGGTAAACAAAACATAAAAAAAACTGCTTTTGAAATCGAAGCGTTATTTATATTTGTTCTAGTAGGTATATTGTCATGTGTTTATAAGTTATTTACGGCAATAAAAAGCAGTTAAACGCCAAATTGGATACCCAAAAATATTAAGAATCCATCAGTGAAAATCATTTCCACGTAATTCATTTTTGCTCTTGTAACAAAGGCTTCAGTACTTGGTAATATCTATTTACCTAGCTCGATGTTAAATATAGTTGTTGTCCCAGTAATAAGGAACATCATTTCAGTGCAAAAGCATTTATTTAACTTTAAACGTGTATTTGAATTAGGTTACCATAAAAGTGTGCAGATAAATTATGACTATTCTATCTTCATTGCTGAAATGATTTGTGTAAATGAATCAAAATCAATTATCATGAAAGCAATCCATCTATAGGGAAGACCTGTGTCCCAGTAGTCGGTACATTAATAAGCTATATTAATGTTCTTGAAAACATAAAAATACATATATAAACATTGTTAAACTAAAATAGGTAAAATAAAACTTTACGGCGTGCATAATTTGTTTGCCATTCAAACGAATTTATTCCTTTCTCCTTTCATATACGGCACTAGTTCATTCCGTATTCTTCAGAGGCCACAGACAATGCACCCGTCGGATTGTAAATATTTGCCGGTATTTGCCATCTTGCCCTTAGCGGGGCTTTGGAAGATTGGTACGAAGAGACGCTTGCTTGCCGGATCCGTGTGACATTTGTTTGTTGGCTCGTACTTATTGTTAGTTATAATTGACTTTTTTATTTATATTATTGTATGAATGCTTCAGGAGCTCAATGGCGCAAGTAGTTACCGCGTTCGGCTACGATCGGTGAAGTTAAGCAACTTTTGTAGTGGTCAGTCATCGGATGGGTGACCAAAAATTTTCTATCTCGAGCTCCTCCGTGCGTCAGAAGGCACGTTAAGACGTTGGTACTAGATGAATCTATAGTCGTTAGCACCTACCTATCTGCACTGGACCCACCTGGTGAGCCATTTCTCTATCTCCCTTTTCCATCCATTGGGAAAACCTGTGCCCCAGCAGTGGCGTCATTAATAGGATGATGATATGAATGCTCAAAAACCGGAGATAATTTTTTTCAAGCTTCATGTAGTTAGGTACAGTTTGTAGTTGCGTTTCTTTATTACATTAACCTATTAATTCCTGATTTGAAAACAAGGTTTTGTATTGACAATCAACCTTTCGTTACATGAAGTAATAATTATAATATCAGTAATAAATAAATGTTTACAAGCGATGGATTATTTTTGTTATTAGCGGGATTGTTACCTTGTTTTTCGCGAGTCTCCGATATTTCGACACTGATGCAAGCGCCATGATCACGTAGTATCTGGATGAACTTATTTTATGAAAAACGTAAAACGTAGTACCAAAATAACTAGTGATATTACCCACTAGTTGTTGAGCTTCCCTGTTGCTGGACGGTTAACCCGTCAATGTTTATTGTTTTCCTACACCATCTTAAAAATACCCAATGTCAGAGTGGCGTCATTAACACGTTGCCGTTTATTATCGACAATTTGAGTAGGTATTATCTGAAGCTCTACCAACCTTGAAAGAATAAAAAAAGGAGTAAAAAATACCAAGGATTTAAAAACACAGTCTGTTATAAAATGTGCGCGCGCACTGCTTTCTTTTGCTTATATCCCCCACTCATCTCCCATTCGCCTCACCCGAACACACTTTTCGTAACGCGTAACGCATTCGCCAGCTTAGTCCCCAAGTCAAGCGTGTGTAAAGAAGTTTCACTTAAAAAATAAGAGACGTAGATACCTAAGACATGTAATTTTATACTGTTTGTGACTCAATAGTCACATAAATATTTACCAATGTAAATATTTGTATATTGTGCTAACACGGCTAATACGGAAGAAAAACAGGACATGAAAGAAGCGAAGCGACTGCAAGGCAATTCCGGTTGTAACAAATAGTGTAATAACCTCCCTGCGATTTTTACGTTTAACGGTCTTATGATGTTGTGCTCGCCTCGAAGAAGTTTTATAATGTTTGCTAAGTTGTCCAAGCTATATGAACTAACAATATCAGAAAATGTTCTTTTGTTTCTTATAATATTCTATTTGAAATCAATTGTTGCGTAAAAATCCTTCAGTTGTTTAAGTTTCTCAAGTGAAAATCATTTCGTTACATTTTTACCCTTTTCTTGCAGGTATTAGACAAGAGCAAGATATTTTCGTTCGTCTCATCGATTCGGTGACAAAACAGGTGAGTACTGCATATTATCAATCACAATATACGAGTACAAAGCATAAAATTAACACATTAAGTTCCAATAATATTCACTTCACTTGATCTTTACCAATCAAAAAACGATCGATCGATTCCTTTCTCAATTCTTGCAAGTAAATAGTTATAAAAAAAATAAGTTTTAAGCCTCGATGATATGGGGCAAGTTTACAAGCTACAAGCCAGTGAGTTCGCTAGTAGCTTGTAAACTCGCCCCGTGTCATCGAGGCTTAATAGGTATATCGCGAAATATTTGAAGTAACAAATGCCGATCGTGTTCATTGATTAAGTAACATCTGCCCGGCCGAATCATTCCCTAATACTGGCCGCTATTCCAAGATATGTCGTTGAATGTTTTTTATACGTGTTCATTGAGCAACCAACATCTGCCCGAAACCGTTCCCGGCCGATCCACCACCGCAGTCGTTCCTACGCCACGCGGCTGCCACGAGGCGACCACGTGACGTACACGCGATAGATTGTCATCGCCGCCACCCGATTACAGCCTAATTCCCCACGCCCCCACCGCCCAAATTGCATTGCATCCGAACACACTCATTACCGTTATCTCGCGTTACAATTTTATTTCACTCCCGCACCTCCATTTCGGTGACCCTGCGACGATGGTCGTTTGTGATCCGCGTCATGAAATTTTAGAATCTGATTGAACTTCGAAAGGGTTATGGGTGAATCGCTCCGCTAAGTCGCTTTGTGTGACGTGAGAGTGGACGTAGTAAAGATTCAAATAATGTTCCATTATTATAATATTGAGCAGTTTTGAAAAAGCGCGTGTGAAACTTTATAAAAAAATTACAATGTATCAAATGTATATGTTACCAACTTCAGATTTATCTTCTAAGATTTAAAAATATGTATTCCTAAGCAAAACGTTGATGATAGATCCATTGAGCACTTTAATTACATAAGTTAAATCGGTCCTTTTATAAGCGTCGTTTCTACCTAGACACACACTCGAGTAAACACATAATAATTTACCGAAAACATCATGAAAGTTGGCCGCTCTCACATATATAATTTCAACACGTCCCAAGCTCTTAGTGTTGTGAAACAGGAGGCCAATTACGAAAGATTTATACCGTGAACATAATTAACTTAGGCCGAACATTGTTAACTAAGAATAACGGAATGTGCTGCAATGTGTTTTGTTCGCTTATTGTTCAAGATTAGTGCTTGCATGACTTGTTACGGGGAAGCTTTTGGTAATGAAAATGTCGGTCAAAATGATAAGCGAAAAGTCGAATATAGGTATACATAAAGTTCATATAATTATTATAATAATTATTACCTGTATCTCACAAAATAAATGTGATTAATTTCTTTAGCTTGTATTAAAATCTTTTATGACAACAAGATAAAAATATAGAAGGTAAGGTCCCCCAGGGCAAATGAAGCTGTGTCAAATAACTCGTTATTGTTTCGCTTTTAAAATATCAAACAGCTGTGACTCTGTAGAGTAACTTTTTCTCTTTACAGCTACAAATATTTCTTATTTTAATTGCCCCGGGGATCTTATGTAGTTAACAATATTTTACAGCATGTGTCTTTTTATGATAAAACACAAATGTTGTGGTCAGGAAATTAATTAACTAAAATCAATGAAACATTGACATAATTTAAAAAGTGTAACATCATGTTAGTAAGTGCCGTTTTATCCTTAAGTCAAACAAGCGACACGCAAAACAGTCGTTGAGTAAAAATGGCGATGCAAGATGGCTGCCGGACCGGTGCGGTGGTCAAATTAATCGTATTAAAACGTTAGGCCGCGGCAGCAATCAGCTAATGTCCGACATTGTCCGGTGCATGCGAACATAACACGCAACTATCTGGAAAGATGGGTTTTCCAGAAATTTTGGACAGTTGGAAGAGTAACATAAAACTTTTAACAAGATTTTAATCTTACCTTCATACCTTATATGTAGTGCAATTAATCGAATTATAAAAAAACGATAAAGTGAGGAATATATAGGTGTAAATATATTGTTCAAATTTTATCCACGGTGTAGTCGAGAACCGGCGACGAGCCTACTAATAACATATAACGTGAAAGTTTGTATGTTTGTTGTTTTTATTATTTCGTGTATTATAAGTGTATTACCACGATTTTAATCTTTGGTATTATATAAAAAAGCAATCTCAAATAACTATACATATCGCGGACGAACACGAGGGAACAACTAGTAGGTATTATTATAATAATTATTACTATTAAAGACGCTGCTACTCTCCCTACGAATATGGGATTATTTGTGTTCCCATACTAAATCACTATCATATCAGTATCAAAAACATCAATCTGGCCCCCTCTATTTGAGTATAGTCTTAAGATACTGACTCATGGCCCGCCGAATGGGATTCTGGCAAATCCTGTAGGACTCGCTCCGTTATGAATGGAGAGGCGCGCGCACAACACGTGCCCATATGATTGTGTTTACTTAACTACGTTCAAACAACATATTAATTTGGTGCCTTTTGTTGGGAATATTGCTTCGGTAAGCTGAATTTTTAATTATTGTTTGGTATATGCCAGCCGTGGATATTATTATTCAGTCAGTTATGTTGTATTTTAACGACTTACCTCTATAACAAACCGTAGAGATTTATTATCTATTTATAAAAACAAAAAATATAGTATTACCTATAGTGTAACTATAAAAAAAACCTACAGATTACTAACGTGATTTTTTTGCAAAACTAGTATTCAATGTTGAAGGAGCAATGCTACGAGTAATTGCCCGACGGTGACGTAAAAGTATCGTGCAAAATTATAAATGTTGGAGTATACCAAGCCGAACAAAAATAACATTTTTAATACTTAAACTTAAACTACCTTTAAGTACCTATTTTAGATACGATTGTGTACCACAATATTGAGACTTTTACAGTTGGCCATGCTGGATAAAGACAATATAGTTTTACAAAAAAATTCAGGAAAATAACATTTTTAATAAAGTATTTTTACTTTATGTACTTAAACTACCTTTAAGTACCTGCTTTAAAAAATGCTTTATTAAAAATGTTATTTTTGTTCGGCTTAGTATACTCCAACCTTTATAATTTTGCACGACTATTTTGCGATACTTTCACGTCACCGTCGCGCAACATTTTGCGTCACTATTCGTAGCATTGCTCCTTCAACATTAAACTTTTCACCTTATACACACAATCTATACCTACTATACATTGTGTGTATAAGGTGAAAAGTTAAACAAAATTACAATTTTAACTATGTAATATAATCATATAAACATAAATCAACTATTAAAAATAAAATATTGGCGCATGAATTTAACATAACACAAAAGTTTTATGAAAGCATTCAATGAAGCATGAATATACTTCCGAAATAATTTTTAAATAAAGCAAAACGCATCAATACCTGCAACTAGTGTACCACGATTTTATTTTGGGGAGCGCAGTAGTAGTGACGCAATAATTTTGCAACCAGTCTCGCAATAGTGACGCAAAAGTAAAAATGCGCAAAAGTAAACAAGCGTTCCCTCACAATTTACGTTTTTTTTTATTATTTATTTCCCATAAAAATAAGCTCTGTAATAAGTGATCACTTAGTCCAGTCAACAAGTTCAAAAACGTGAAAAATAGAGATAAAGCTCCTAAAAATATGAGCAATAGCTCATTGGATTCGTAACGACCTCTAGAAAAATGAGTTTTGAGGATTTTACTGCACGTAAAAAATTGCAATTGTTATTAACAAAATAAGATGAAAAAAAAGAGGTATTTACGTTTTTGTTAATAATTCATAAACTATTAATATTTACGATATTTGGAAAAAAGGTCCTTAAAGAGGAGGAAATTTACGAAATAAAAGTCCCAGCTCCCGGAACTCTACCTCTATTATTTATAATTTTAATTTAACGCTGAAAATAGGGCTCCGCGCAGCCATTACGGCATGGGCGCACTGCCGTTAAAGACAGTTTCTTACATAAAATTATTTTTTTATAGTAACAAATATGAATTTAAAAATTTAAATAAATTATGGTGTCATCCAGATACTTGAAAGAATATATTCCCGTTGGAAATTTTTTTTTAAATTAATTTTTCAAAAAGTTATGCAATTGTTAATTAACGAATTTTTTTCCTATCTCCGTTTTCATAAATGACGACATAAAAATTTAAATAATAAACCTATAAATTTTTGGCTCTGTGGAGCTCTTCTTATATATATACTTAACAAGATCCCGCGATAAAAGTTTATTAAAGTTAATTATTTTGTTTATAACAATTTTTTAAAGTTAACAAAAAATGAAAAGTCTAAGAAATGTTATTAAAAAAATTTTTTTAAACAAATGTTATATTATTGCTGCTTTCTTATCCAACAATGGCATTAGGTAACATCGGAAAAAATATTTTTACATCATTTGTTAAGAAATTGTTTATAAACAAATAGACAAGTTTAATATTTAAAGAAATTGTTTTTTTACCATTATGTTGTCTTGGCAAAATAAGGATTTTAAAAAAAAAAATTTTTTCTTAAATATTTTTTTTTATTGTTTATAATCGTTTTTTTTATATTTCGATTGTTTAAATAATTAGTTAAGGAATGATTTTCTCTTTAAAAATCATAATTGGCATTTCTTCATAGGTAAATAGAAAAAAAAAAATTTATCAATAATTTCATTGTTTGTTAACTTAACAATTTGTTATAAACAAATTCTAACTACCGTTATATTTTTTTTCTAGAGCTAAAAAAAATAGCAAAAACAGCCATATATATCAAAATACTAAAAAAAAAAATTTTCTATTTTTTATAACGCTTTTAAATATTACACGATACCAAAGTTGCACCGGACACTTGATTTGTCAAGTAAAAAATTAATATAACTTATAAACTATTCGAGATACGATAATGGACATTCAGGTCGTTTTCATAAAGCATTAATTAATCTTCAAAATAAGCTAAAAACCAAGTTTGTAACTATTGTTTATCAGCTAATACATGCATTTGTTTATAAAAATTTGAGATTTCTTTAACTTTTTCGTATCTCTTATGACTTACAACTTAATAAATAATTAAAATACAGCTATAAACCTTAAAACAATTTTGTTTAGCGATACATTATCTCCCAAATTATCAATTAATCGTACCTCCATCTCTAATTGTTTAAACAATATACGTGACTTAATTAATATTTATTTAACTCGTGTTCAATTTAACATCGAGGTAATAATTTGGGAGATAATGTATCGCTAAACAAAATTGTTTTAAGGTTTATAGCTGTATTTTAATTATTTATTAAGTTGTAAGTCATAAGAGATACGAAAAAGTTAAAGAATTCTCAAAATGTTATAAACAAATGCATGTATTAGCTGATAAACAATAGTTACAAACTTGGTTTTTAGCTTATTTTGAAGATTAATTAATGCTTTATAAAAACGACCTGAATGTCCATTGTCGTATCTCGAATAGTTTATAAGTTATATTAATTTTTTACTTGACAAATCAAGTGTCCGGTGCAACTTTAGTATCGTGTAATATTTAAAAGCGTTATAAAAAATAGAAATTTTTTTTTTTTAGTATTTTGATATATATGGCTGTTTTTGCTATTTTTTTTAGCTCTAGAAAAAAAATATAACGGTAGTTAGAATTTGTTTATAACAAATTGTTAAGTTAACAAACAATGAAATTATTGATAATTTTTTTTTTTTCTATTTACCTATGAAGAAATGCCAATTATGATTTTTAAAGAGAAAATCATTCCTTAACTAATTATTTAAACAATCGAAATATAAAAAAAACGATTATAAACAATAAAAAAAATTATTTAAGAAAAATTTTTTTTTAAAAAATCCTTATTTTGCCAAGACAACATAATGGTAAAAAAACAATTTCTTTAAATATTAAACTTGTCTATTTGTTTATAAACAATTTCTTAACAAATGATGTAAAAATTTTTTTTCCGATGTTACCTAATGCCATTGTTGGATAAGAAAGCAGCAATAATATAACATTTGTTTAAAAAAATTTTTTTAATAACATTTCTTAGACTTTTCATTTTTTGTTAACTTTAAAAAATTGTTATAAACAAAATAATTAACTTTAATAAACTTTTATCGCGGGATCTTGTTAAGTATATATATAAGAAGAGCTCCACAGAGCCAAAAATTTATAGGTTTATTATTTAAATTTTTATGTCGTCATTTATGAAAACGGAGATAGGAAAAAAATTCGTTAATTAACAATTGCATAACTTTTTGAAAAATTAATTTAAAAAAAAATTTCCAACGGGAATATATTCTTTCAAGTATCTGGATGACACCATAATTTATTTAAATTTTTAAATTCATATTTGTTACTATAAAAAAATAATTTTATGTAAGAAACTGTCTTTAACGGCAGTGCGCCCATGCCGTAATGGCTGCGCGGAGCCCTATTTTCAGCGTTAAATTAAAATTATAAATAATAGAGGTAGAGTTCCGGGAGCTGGGACTTTTATTTCGTAAATTTCCTCCTCTTTAAGGACCTTTTTTCCAAATATCGTAAATATTAATAGTTTATGAATTATTAACAAAAACGTAAATACCTCTTTTTTTTCATCTTATTTTGTTAATAACAATTGCAATTTTTTACGTGCAGTAAAATCCTCAAAACTCATTTTTCTAGAGGTCGTTACGAATCCAATGAGCTATTGCTCATATTTTTAGGAGCTTTATCTCTATTTTTCACGTTTTTGAACTTGTTGACTGGACTAACTTCACTTCACTACAAGTTTGACATCATGAAATTCCTTTAATATTGCTCCTATCATGTGTTGCCATTACAAAAGAACATAAGTTTACAAAATGTGACTGACAAACTGTAATTAAATATTGGTTGCGCAACAAAAGTTGCGCAATGGAATGATATCGCTTAACAGTAAACAATTATTAAAATATCAATATTAGAACGCCTTAGTTTACAAGCAATTCTCTTAGTCTGCGTAGATTTAAATTCTTTTATTGTAGGAATAATAATTGACCAGTAATTAGCAATGTTTTTTTTATTAACCTCAAAGTGAGCAAGATCTAAAGAGCATGGTGGTTTTACACTGTTATTTTCAATTTTTCAATGAGAATATTTAATTTATACGATTGTGTACCACAATATTGAGACTTTGACAGTTGGCCATGCTGGATAAAGATAATTTAGTTTTATAAAAAAAATCAGGAAATCTCTATTTAGTAACTTTCTATAAAAACAATGAGGTTTCTTTGGAGGACATGAAATGTGGCAAAATTCTCGGCCTCACCCACCTACTGAGCAAGTCATCGCTACACGAGACCTTTCCTGTGAAATACCGAATTTTATTTCGTGGATCTTATGAAAAAAGAAATGACCACCAAGCTGGTATTCTATGTAATTGTAATTCCACTACACTATGTATGTACTGTCAACAAAGTCATAAGCCCCAACTTTTTTCTTTCTGTTTTCCTTAAGTCATATAAAAGAAAACCGTTCCTTGACCAAGAGGGTCGCTCTGCCCTTTTGCTCTTGTTCACTAATGATAATTCTTTGCATAAAAAATAATAATAGAAGTTAGTATCCGTTTACGTTACTACATACTAAAGTCATAAAATCGGCAACCAATTAGTAAAAAAAGTCTTATTGTTTGTCATTGATCAAATTTAGAAGTGGTGGGACAACCAACACTCATCTAGTACAAGCAAAACAGTTTTGAAACTGATCAAGCGATAACTTTGTTGTTAGTACACATAGGTATGTGATTATAAGCTTCCTACACCAACGGTAGCTCAAACCGATATTTTTTTTGAATCCCCTCAAATTCCCTAGAGATTGAATCCCACGCGACGCAGAATGCCCAGAGCGGGGCACCACCGCTCGTCCCACAAACATCCTGAGGGATTTCTTCCGGGATTGAACTTGAGTCACTAGTACATTATTATAGTATCGCTGTTTGCAGTACTAATGAACGATTAGTTCAAAAGGAAATACTTCGATTCAAAAAAATACAAGAAACTGTCAGAAACATAAACTTTTCGATGTCTTAAATCGATTTAAAAATTTTATCGAATCACGTGTTGTTCATTCAAATCAATGCGATTTTATGAAACCACGATGCAAGTGAACATTTTTATATTATCAAAAATCCTTTCTCGGATGCTTTTCTTCAGCTTTCTAACACTAAACTAACGATGCTTGTTGAATGGTCTGATTTTTTTAAAAGGAAATGCGACGTGCTCCATATGAATAAAATGAAACCCTCATCCAGTATTTAGAATTGATATGGCTGAGTTCATGTTGTTCTGTGAAAACAGAGAAACATCTAGGCATATAGTATTATGTTATGAAACTAATTAAAAAACGAAAGAAACATGGAAAAAATATATTCATGACATATTCTGATTTATTTATTAACAGAAAAAATATTATGGAAGTAGCTTATTATATTTTAAGATAATGTGATCGAAGTTTATTTTCTGCTCATATTAAGACTGTTGGTTTAATTCATATTTTAAAGTATTAACAAAATCACCTGATACCGCTACCCTTATGAGTTGAATAACCAAAGCTTATAAAGCTCTCATTCATCTAAATACTTTCGTATGACCCTTAAATACATGTTACAAAACACCCTACAAAAAGAAATCCTGACAAATCCTACTCACAAAAGATGATAAGACCCCGCTGTTTCATATTCAATTAAATATTTTGTCCGGGGATGAAAAAATCTATCTTTTGGACTTAGGGGATTGTGGCTAATGGTGGCTGGCTTGGTGCGACTATTGACGTAATGCAACTGAGATTAGATACACCTGATGCATTTTTTGTTAAACTAACAAATTTCTCAGTACCTACTCGGATATAATGATATGAAGGCTATTCATCTAAATTAAAACAATTTCAAATTCTTTGTTTCATTAGTTATTCTTAAGATTTGATATGCATTTATTTATGAAACAAATATGAAATGTGGAAATAAAATCTAATAGAGTTTCACATTATTAATAGAGTTTTAATATTTTTAATGATCAAAAAAAGCTCAGTTCTAATTATTGAGTGTTTGTAAAAGTCACTCGTGGTAATGGGTTTTATTTATATTGGAATCCTCGAGTCGAGTAATAATCTATTTTTTTTACTTTTTGAGCCACTGGTTGATATACTCTATACTCATTCATTAAAACTCCGCACTATACCATATTAATCGGATTCAAAGCGTTAAAACCATGTTATAACACTTAAAAATTTCGAAAACCTTTAAAAGGTCACTACGAAAACTATGCAAATGTGTTTTAGTTGTAATAATAAAATGGAATTATGCATGCAGGGGTGCATAAATTAGCAAAAAAATTATGGAGACGAAACTTTTATCTTATCTTTACGCCGATTTTAATTAATTAATTGACGTTGTGTCGTGTGTCTTTTCAAAAAGTTTTCTATAAAATTCTCGTGTGGAAAAACCGCAAGTCTTTGTCAGAAGCGTAAGACAGGAAATATAGAGAATAATCACAGTAGTGTGTCGTGACACATCCAATTAAAGCTTGTGATAAGGTATGAAAATGTGAATTTGTGCAATTCATCAATATTCATTTTCATATACATCAGGCTGTATCTTCTCACAATATGACGTCAAAAGTGCGTACATAACTTTTTTTTGGTGAACTCGATAGTGCCCAGGTAAACGTAATAAGTCTGAGTTTGCATAAGTTTCACAAAATGTTGGTCAAATCAATGAGAGTTAATCATGTTTCAAAAAAGCCGAGAGCAACAATTACCTATTATCCAGGTATTCCAGAAGATGGAAAATATTCGATGGAAGTTCTTTTTGATGATGACGTTTTTTCTTTGTTACAGCCCATTGTGTACGAAGGCCAAGACAAAAATCCTGAGATGTGCAGAGTGCTACTAACACACGAGGTTATGTGCAGGTAATATATAATTTATTGTTAATTTTTTCGACGAAAGAAACGGAGGTTAATAAGTCGTACTTAATGGTATAATATTGTTTATACCTTTTCAGGAGTTTCGGCGGTTTTGATTTATAATATCCGGTTATCGAATGACTTATTTGACTCTTAAAGAGACATACAGCGAAAAACAAAGTTCTTACCTTACGTGCATAAATACTGAGCTCGCGTTATAACTGCAATTTTTTCTAAATTTATCTTTTGAAATATGCATTCTGTTTATAAAATGGCATACATACAGAAAATCATTTATCATGAATGTTAAGAATATCAAAAATGTTGCTTATCATGTTTCTTTGAAACTGAGGTATTTTGGGTGACCGTGTTAATATTTTTTTTGTTCAAACATTTTGATGCATTGGTTCTGCTTTTGAGATCCAAGGTATGAAACCTGGTTACGTTAGCTTGGTTGTGTAAAAAATATTCATACCTTCACTTTTACGATACTGGAAAAAATATTTATGAATTATGAAATTGTCACACTAACTGTACGCGTCAAAAAAATCTCTGATTAATAGGTGTACTAGATTCGAAGTTCAGTTCTCAAATGTAATGTATGTCAGTGATTCACGTAAACTTTCCGTGTTAGCGCTTCCTAATTAGCGGAGTCGAAACATTTTACAAAGAAGTGAATGTCCTTATTAATTTAAACATTTGTTTGGGGTGGTTTTTGCAGTCGTAACGCGAGTAGATCGTCTCGTTTCAGGCTAGGGTCACCAGGCAAAAGTTATGTTTGTCAAGTTTCTTTTTATTAATGTATTTTAAAGTACTTAATAAATTTACGATACTTAATGGTGTTATAATTGAATAGGTATTCATATAAAGCACGTTCTAATTTTTTCTCATGAAGTGACATTTGGATCTTTATCAATATCTTTCAACATATTTCAGTCTATACTTATAGGCGTCCATTATATTGAATGGCTCTCAAAGTTACCTTATTCTATTGCTATCGCTGGAAAAGTGCCAAAGTGATTAAAGGGCAAATCTTCTATTTTCATGTTTTTTTCACATAAGGTCGAAAAAAATTTCCTTGATAATGCCACAAGTTCACGTGAATGACATTTGTTTCTGGAATCATAACATAGAAAGTAAATAAATAAATATTGTCTATCAACATAAATTACGTCTCTCACTACATCCCTAACAATCTTATTTCCTGGTTACACTACCTGCGTACCGTTGTGTTGCCCCAACAATACAACTGCGTCTGTGTGAGCAATTAAAATTTTATTCCACCTTAGACGCAGTGGTGGCATCCCTGTCGGCTAGATAGTGGCGTCTCGCTCGCACGTCTTCAGGGGTGGAGTCTCAAGGGAGTCTGTCCTTTCAATGTCTTTGCCCTTTGCGTCAAGGAGGCCCGGTAGGGCGCAATATACACCGCGGAATAGTGTGGACAAAGCGGATATACCATGCAGTTTTTAGTCCCTTGGAAATATCAAACATTTGCTTTTATAGACTTCGATAATTTTGAGTTCATTAAACAGGTTTCATTCGTGAATTCTTAATTCTTTATTATTAACATAACTGAAGTAATTTCATAATTTAATTTTTCTTTGAAACATTATGGACAAAATAATATTCAAAGTTTCTGTTCAAGTCGATAATTCTTTAGTAATATTGCATACATCATCCAACTAACAAAGAACCTTCAAACATACTAGAACATACATAGAAATGTCTATTTTAAGTTGACCTTGTAGTTTAATTTCAGGCATTTAGTTTTGTTCAGGCATTTAGAAATTATAAACTGGTCGAATCTTAAATTTCTTTTTACTAAACATATCGTAACACATACATTTGCAGTAATACACAGTTATAGCACTATAAATCGTAGAAGCATGAGAGACGCACATCTCGGGGACCCTTCTTTTACTGGGAAAATTGGGAATATATTGATTTTTCCCTCACGATATCCTTTTAAGTACAATTTTATCTGTAAGGTGTACCTTTCAGTGAGGGAAATTCTACGTAACGTTTTTAGTTTAGTCGCTATCTCTTTACGTAGAATAAAAATAAAATTGTAAAGCTTATGAAGGTCATCGCAGTTTTGCTGACTTTTGCCTTTACAATATATCATTTTAAACTTATTCAGATATATTGGATTTACGCTATTATTTATGTTGATGTAATTTTCGATACAAAATTTTGGAATAACATGTTTTATATTATTGTTAAATATAATATCACGATGTTTCTGTTTTGGAACTAATAGCAAATGTAAGCAAAGGTAGAATAAGAACAAAGGTATTGCATTGCATAATATCGCAGCTGGTCCTGCTACAAGCGAGGGACCTAGGTAGGTGACTTGCGTAGCTCCTAGCTTAAATCTAAGCGCGGCACCTAATTCATGACTTAAATCTTAGGTCCAAGTAATATCTGAGTTATAACAAAAATTTACTAGAAAAATTTCCACTCGATCTAGCCACATAAACAATTGTTGTGTGATTTTTCACCGCTTGGTGTGAATTAATCTTTTTTATTACATCATGTTGACGTTTGAAATTACTCCATCTCATTGAAAAGATTTTGTCTAGTATTTTTTTCTTTAGATTTAAGCATCTGGTAGTTAAATACTTAAACTAAAATTATATTTATCTGAGTTTTATTTTCAAAACTAAAGCCTAGGGTCCAAGAAATAATTCTAGTATAAATAATAATATAATTCCACACTTAAAAACTACATAATATCCGTCAAAACTTATACTATCAAAGGCATTAAATTAAGTATCATTTATTTTATAATGGCGAGATATTTGTTTTGTAATCAAACAAGCTGTGATACGAGAGATCGAGGCATTCTAACACAGGTATATGTTTACCTTAAAAGAGTGCTTCAATAACTTTTAAGTTAAGGTACAAGTCCGAACAGACTGCAGGCGACACTACTAGTTTCTATGAATCTCTATGAAGTTGATTCCGAGCTCGGCGACATGCCGCGGTTGCACAGTGTTCAATGCATATAATGCACGGTCGCTAGCCGCAGTGTCGCCTGCGGTTGTCGTCTGCAGCCCACTGCGGAATTGTACCTTTAATGTAATTTGGTTACAGAATAAATATTTTAATTTTTTTTTCATTTTTAGCTTTTTAGTAATTTCTTATCTTCAAATCAAATAATTTTTATTTTCTTCCACAGCCGGTGTTGTGACAAGAAAAGTTGTGGAAATAGAAATGAAACACCATCAGACCCCGTCATCATAGACAGGTGAGTAATATTTTAATAACAGTAGCAAAAATAGCAGTAGCAAATCTACTTATTCTAAAATTGTTTTGAACTCGGTCAAATGAATCTTTAAATTAAGGAAATTTACGTGGAAGTGAAATACGAATTATGGGTTTTTCTGTGATTTGTATATTGTTTAGTGCATAAATTATTGGTTGCATCGCAACATTTCTACCGTAAGTATTAGTTTTTACGGGTTGATAAAAAACGCATTCTTCAAATGCGCAAAGTTGCATATTAGGTAAAAAAGCATTATCTTAATATACGCAATAAATAAATAGAAATAGCAAAGAAACACGTAAACAACATAAGCGTGACCCAGCAAAGAGGGCACCGATACATAATATGTCACTACCGCAATAAAAATACGCGGATGCCTGTCTCAAAAGTTTCGCGGTGGAAATGCATTTTCAGAGGAAGTTTAGAGATTGCCATCATTGTGAGCTGATGAATCGTCGCGATAACATGCCATTCCGATTTCATGCTCCTTTTTCTTACTCGTTCTTTGTTTTGCTATATTCCTCATGGTTGTCACTTTGTCATCGGTCAATTATTTTGTAAGTTGGTATATGGTTGATCCACAATTTGACTTCTTTTATAATTATGAGTCCCCAAATAAATAAATAACAAGTACCCTTGTAATTTAGAATATATATATATATATACATATACATATTTATTGTTTATTTTATGCATGTTTTCATTTCATTTGGTTAATTGCAGATATATGAATGTTTATTAGACTCGTACCCAATTAGTGACTTTTCTCTGGTAATATCAAGTTTTCATTCCTTAGGCCCGCTTTGCTTCATCACTTAGGATTGAAGACTATTTCATCAATGTTGTTTTCTTTATTTTTATGTTTTCTTTTTGGTAATTAAGGTTTACTTATATTATTCCAGCTTGTACATTTTTGCTGGCCTTTGGCTGTTTAATATACCTTTATAAATAAAAAAAAAATGAAAAAATGAGAACAACGTACAAAGGTATTTGTACTGTTAGTTCTTTTTGTTTCTCTCTCCCTCTCTGAGTTTGATGCGCCGGTTTTTCTTAGGAAAGTCTCCCAATTTTGGAACCGGTGGGAGTTTACGGTAGTTAGGGTCAAATAAATAAACTCTAAATTATAAAAAAGGATTGAATAAATTACTTTATTATTTAAATTAAAAATCTTCCAGTGAAATATCCAAACGCTCAATAAAAGTCTTTTTCGAAGATAGCTCGACAAAGTAAATAAAAAATCATTATTCCGACGACGCATTCCTGAAAAGGATGCGAAATGTCAATGAATAAATAAATTCAGTGCATATAACCCGTTAAAACTGTTTTATTTAACGTACAAAGGATTAGTAAATAGCGGTAACTAGGAATATAGTTGTATTCCTGTTCGAAAATTAATGGATGAGTTTTATTAACACAAGGCTTGCCTTATTGTATGAATAATAAAACCACAACATTTTTTTTAAATTTAATATCTTTTTATCAGCCATGATTAAAAAACAAACGAATAAAGACAAAAGCAGCAAAAAAATCCCCAAAACCGACCTCCCGCGGTTACATTCAGAACTCTTTTAATGCTTTCGGGCGAGGCATGGGCTAATCAGGCTGACAAATATCGAAATTTCAATGGAACACAGCACTATTGATAGGCTGGGGGTGGGGGCACAAAGTGGTGGTGCTTTTATTTCGCGTCCTTTTTCGGGAATTCAATGGAGATAGGCGTCTCCCGTTTCGTACGTCGTTCGATATCTGTAGGGTTGTCAATTAGTTGAACACCGCTTTTGATTGACCTGCTGAATGGTTGAAACTAATCTGCTAATTATTTTCTAAGGAGCAAAACATCCCACACCACTTTTTTTTGGAAGGTGCGAGAAAACAGAATGCAGAAAAGAACCAAATTGGAAGCCTTGTTGATAACTGGAAATGTGAGGTTTGATTTTCCTGTATTTCTGAACCGTTTTTTGTTTGAAACTTTTTCTTTTAAAGTATCGGTGGTAATGGTAACCCTAACGCTTCATTCGTAGGTTCGTATACGTGGGTTTTGTAATTCGGTGGATTCATTTTTTTCGCTCTACCTTGAAAACAAAAAGCCTTTGTGCCGAGAACTTTCCTTTGCGTTTCGGCGGTGCACGAAGTTGACCGTCCGAAATGTAGCCAGCCTCAAAAACAAATTTTGTGTGATTTTTCACCGTTTGATGTGAATTAATCTTCTTTATTACGACACGTTGACGTGTGAAATTTTTGCATTACCCCATCTCATTGAATATTCATGGATGTTTTGCATTTGATCATTAGACAAAACATCGATGTCGGTTTCATTATAACTGTGTATATATTGCTTTATGTTTCTATGTACATTTTTTTAAGTACATATGTTTGAACATAATTGTAATATATTTATCTAAATAAAAAAAAGACTGTTTTGTAGATACCATATCCATCTATATGAAAAACTAGTGGCCCGCCCGCGCTTCGCTTCGGTGTAGAGCTGTAGTGTAGACTATAGTTTTTGTTCTTAGGCTTGTATTATACACAATGACATTCTTCTAATACCTAATTACAATAGGCACGCGCCACCAGGTGCCCCGCCCGGTAGCGTCGGAACCGCTATGTCCCTGCATTTTAAATCTGTAATATCTTCGAAAATATTCATTTAAATTACATGCGTTAAATAGCCAAATTGGTCTATATTAAATGCACAATGTATTTAAGGTACTGAATTGGATAAGGAAGAATGTTATATTGCTGAAAATCGCTTCATAAATAATCTATTATTTCTCGTAAAAAGTATAGGATATAAAATGGTTATTGTGGGTTATCCCTAAGAGATAGACAGATACCATGGCGGACTTTTTTGTAGACATTTTTAAGGTATACAATACTGTAGTACAATATTTTGATCGATCTCGTAGGGTTCAGCCAGCGTTTTCAATGTAAGCGGAAAAACTGTGTTTATTTACGACCTTACATTAAAAACCTCTAAAATTATCAGTGTTTCCAACCGTTACACAAAAATAATCCTTATAGCATGATTCAGTATTCACGTGCGACGGCGCGATGGCTTATTTCATGTATAAGTTTGGTGTTTATATACCGATTTCTATGATTCTTTTTTTATTGAATAGGTAATAATGTTAACTTTTTTAAATTAGGGATGAGTGAGAGTATTATAAACGTAAGAGTAAACAAATATAATCAGAATGCTCCGAACTGCTAAGCTATCAGGAGTTACACGTGTTATTGTGAGTCAACCATAAAAGATAGACATATGCTGTTGCGGGATTTTTTAGACAATTTTATGTTAAATATTTCCGTCATACATGATTTCTATGTAACTTTAACCATTAAGGTTGCACAAGCGACGGAAGCTTAAAAAAAGGAGTAACTTCTCCCGTTTTCCCAGCATTTCCCTTCACTACTCTGCTCCTATTGATTGTAGCGTGATGAAAAGTATACTATAACCTGCCCAGGAGTATGAAGAATAATTGTACCAAGTTTCGTTAAAATCCGTCGAGTAGTTTTTGTTTCTATAAGGAACATACACACAGACAGACAGACAGACAAAAATTTTACTGATTGCATTTTTGGCATCAGTATCGATCACTAATCACCCCCTGATAGTTATTTTGAAAATATATTTCATGTACAGAATTGACCTCTCTACAGATTTATTATAAGTATAGATTACTTAGAATTCTTGTTTATATAATATCATTGGAAGGAACAGATTATATATAATGTTGACATTTGCACGAAACTACGCAACGCATTATAGCTATGTTACCAATTCAGGCATTAAACTATATCCCTCTTATTAATAAACAAAGAATAAGCTTGGACTCATTACTCCGTGTTTTGGCTCTGTTCAATGAATGACAAATGGCATTTGAGTGATATGAACAAAACATGGCGTAACTAGTCCAAGCTTAGTCCTCGTTTATTAATAGGGTATTTATTATAAGTGTGCTCTTTCAAATCCTTACTGCCGTTTTTGCGTGGTTGACTAACAGACATCCAAGGGATGGCCGGTGGTATGGTGGATCCGCGATGCAAACATTCACATTTATAATAATGTTGAAGTAGGATCTAAACTAAAAACTAAAATATACAAAATATTAAAAAACTTTCAGAATAAGTTAAGGTGTCGTCAATCTTTATTCATCTTTAGATCTTTATTCATCTTCATCTTTAGATTTAAACATCAAGCAGTTACATGCTTTAAAAATAATAAAATTTATAACTATAATTGCTATTTCTTCTTTCAAATGTTTAATACTTGTAAAAGTATTCATTTGACATTGTGGGTTACCTATAATGCGAAGAGATGGCGCTGCCTTGCAGCTTAAGAATAGCTAGAAGAATTTCGACGCGGTCCGTGAGGGCCGCGGTAGCATAATTGGTCAGTGCATTCGCCCGGATTGCCAAGCGTGCGGGTTCGAGTCCCGTCTGCTGCCTGGTCCGCGTAGAATTTTTTCTAGTTATATTTTCTTTAGATTTAAACATCAAGCAGTTACATGCTTTAAAAATAATAAAATTTATAACTATAATTGCTATTTCTTCTTTCAAATGTTTAATACTTGTAAAAGTATTCATTTGACATTGTGGGTTACCTATAATGCGAAGAGATGGCGCTGCCTTGCAGCTTAAGAATAGCTAGAAGAATTTCGACGCGGTCCGTGAGGGCCGCGGTAGCATAATTGGTCAGTGCATTCGCCCGGATTGCGAAGGGTGCGGGTTCGAGTCCCGTCTGCTGCCTGGTCCGCGTAGAATTTTTTCTAGTTATATTTTCTTTAGATTTAAACATCAAGCAGTTACATGCTTTAAAAATAATAAAATTTATAACTATAATTGCTATTTCTTCTTTCAAATGTTTAATACTTGTAAAAGTATTCATTTGACATTGTGGGTTACCTATAATGCGAAGAGATGGCGCTGCCTTGCAGCTTAAGAATAGCTAGAAGAATTTCGACGCGGTCCGTGAGGGC